GATATTAGAAGTTGGGAGCACAAAAATTTTAGGGCACGTCGGATTCAGTTACAACCTATAAATGAAGGAAATATGTGGGAAATACTTTTAGATTTACTTAACGTTGACTCAGTGCAGAAGTAGAGGCTGGCAGCTTTTAGCCTGAAGGGTGATGCAGGAGGATGGTATAGGCTTCAGTTCACTCCGGATCATCAGATAACCATCACTTGGGAGGATTTCGTGTATTTCTTTGACGAGCAGTACATCTCTTCCGCGGTACGGGACGGGAAAGAGCTAGAGTTGTCTAAGCTAGAGCAGGGAGATATGTCTGTGGCTGACAATGAGAGCCGATTTATGAGTCTTCTATGTTTCACGGGCATGTGGCAGTCAGGGAGCGCCAGGCGCAGATGTTTCTTATGGGACTTCGCCCAAGTCTTCGTCGTTACCTAGTTTCCAGAAGATTCCGTTCAGTCCGAGAGGTCGCAGATGCAGCTATATCGCAGGAGACAGAGACTGCGATGTTCCATAAGAACAAGGAGGGCAACAATAAGTCTGGACAGCAGAATGACAAGGGCAAGGGCAAGAGATCTTTTGTCGGACTAGGAGGACCCCAGCAGCGGGGTAAGGACTTTCATCACCATCACCAGGGCAAGTTCAAGAAGGGAGTACAACATGACTCGAGAGCACCACCGCAGCGCAAGATTCAGGGTGCATGCTATAACTGCAACGAGATTGGGCATAAGGCCAAGGACTGTCGCAGTGCGCCAGCAGGAGGCCAGCAGGGCAGAGGTCAGGGCCAGCAGCAGAATCGAGGACACGGTCAACAACAGAACCGTGGTCAGGGTCAGCATCAGTTGGGCCGCGGTTACGGCCAACACCGCCAGCTGTTCCTAGGATTGAGGGGCCAGTAGGCCAGATTCGCGCGATTCAGGAGATTCCCGAGGGACAGATAGTCTTGTATATTCCACCATCGTCAGTTCATCAGCAGCCACTGGCAGAGTCTATGCAGTCGTACCGCGTGATCACGGTGCGAGCGGAGCTATAGTAGAAGGTACTTTCTTAGTAAACTCTTTTACAACTCGGATCATGTTCAATTCCGGAGCTTCCCATTCTTTTATATCTCATGCCTTCATGGATAGGCTCCAGTTAGTCGCACATCATTTAGATGTTCCGTTGTCCGTCTCTACTCCCTTAGGGGAGGTATCCCTATTAGAGAACGTCTGTAGGAGATATGTCATCAGTTTAGATAAGTCCGAGTTTATCATAGATTTGATCATCTTGCGGATGTCGGATTTCGACGTCATTCTTGGTATGGATTGGTTATCATCCTACCATGTTAGCATTGGCTGTTTTGTGAAAACAGTCAGTTTGCGAGCGTTCGATGGGTCTGAGTTGATCATAGAGACCTCACAGGGCAACCAGTTTGCGGAGTCATTTCTAGCCTATATCGAGGAGGTGATGCTGAGAGATCGGAGTGCTGATTTGTGCGAGACTAGGGTTGTCTCAGATTTTCAGGATGTCTTTCAGGACATACCGGGGCTACCTCCTGTGAGAGAGGTTGAGTTCTGCATCGAGTTGCAGCCAGGCACAGCACCGATATCTCGAGCTCCCCATCGTATGGCACCTGCTGAGATGAGGGAGCTACAGACTCAGCTGGACGAGTTGTTGTCTCAGGGTTTTATTCACCGGAGTCATTCTCCATGGGAGCGCTGGTCCTTTTCGTGAAGAAGAAGGACTATAGTATGTACCTATGATGACGATGCTCTTATGTTACAGCTGGCTAGGCTGAGTTTTACTCTTAATAAGTCTAATGTGTGTATTGTGGGGGGTATTAAATAAACAGCTGTAGCACCCTTTGAGGACTTACCTACGTGAGAGGAACCGTGATGGCCACGGTTGGGGGGGAGGGCAGGAATGACCCCTAGAAACTCTCATGAGTCGGTTTTTTATGAGCATGGCCTTTAACGCTCAACCCGCTTAGCTCAATAGATAAAAACGTATTGTGTATGTTTTTATCAATACATGATTCAAGGGGCCTAATTCAAGGCCTAGTCCATTATGTTCCTCAGGTGGCGATGAACTCACTAAGGAAAGGTTCAAAGCTGAAAGCTACCTCTCCCGAATTCACGATACGAAAGGTTTCCCAACCTATATTTATTTTGTGATTTATTGATTTATTTATTATTTTTTAAGTTTTCAATCAATATTGCCTTTTGGGGCGGATTGTTGGATGTTTTGTTCATGAAAAGGTAATTTTGCCTTTGTGGATAGTCCCACATTAGAAAAGGAGATGAATAGTATAGGGTATATAATGGTTGTCTCCTTATTGGGTTTTGAATTGTATTTTGGGTTTTGTGGGCTTTGCATATCTAGCTCACACACGTGCGGGCGCGCACGCATGCCACGCCACACCATGCCTCGCCTCGCCTCGCTTTGCTCGTACGCGCGCACCACGCCACGCCGCACCGTACACGCACATTTTTGCTTCTCAAGCTTTTATTTTGCACGTTTTACACGTTTTGTAACGGCTCCATGCGGGTAACGGAAGCGAGATTCGTGCGTAACGGTTCCTTTGATTCAGCGGGGGTTACATTTCTTCTCACCTATATAAGCAGCCGTAGACCTCATTCAGATATACAACAACGAGAAGAATAACTTACAAAGCTCTCTTTCTCCACTCTCTTTTTTCCGAAGTTATTTCGGCTACACTTTTACATTTATATTTAGGGCAACCATTTTCGTCTGAGCATAAGCTCTGTGACTCACGCCCGAGAGCAGAGGTCGGCTGATTCCGGGGGTTTTTACCGCTAGGAGAGAGGGGACAGATTGCGCCAGGACGATAGGCGGGTCCTCAATCTTCTAGGGTAGTGGCATCACGACTGCTCCTGATTAGACCTGAATTTTCTAACTCTTTAATTTGGATTTTATATTATTATTATATTCCTGTTTTGATAGCAGGCTTATTGTGGGCCCAAGCGCAAAGATCCGTAATTTGCACCATCACCAGTATTAAGCGTCTCCTTACTAATTTAGTTTTCTTAATCCTAGCTAGTTCGCATTGCTAAACTTTTCTAGTGTTCCTAGACACTGTAATGTCCGGGTTCATATTGTGGCAAATTAAGACAAAGAAAGAGCTATTTACTGGCCCTTCTCTATAATTTCTTGCCTTCTATAAGAAACAAAAATCATTCTATTTTAGGCTAACTTTTCTAGTAGAGGCATTTTTTAGAAATTTTATGCATGATGATGATACCAATAACAATAATGATGATGATAATAACAGTATTAGAAATAATGGTGATGGTAGAGTTTATGATGATGACGGTGTTGAAGATGATGCAGATAGTAGCTAATGGTAAAGATAATGGTACTAGCAAAATCAATAACAACAGCAATACCAATTGCATTTATGATGACACTTATGACAACACCAATAGTAACAAGAGCAATACTAAGAAAATTTAAAACTAACAATACCACCGTTAAATAAATAATAGCAATACTAATCATATTAGTAATAAAGGGTAAGAACAAGAACAATGATAATACAGAGACAAAAGGTTAAAAAGAACTAGCACACATGGTCCTCTATCCTAATCTTAGACCTCCAAATCTCCTATCAAAGGTCATATCGTCGGTGAGCTGCATGTGCGTCAGATCATGTATGATGACCTCTTCCCAGTTTTTCCTAGGGCTTTCTCTACCTCTTCCTCCTCTAGTATCTCTCAAGCTAATCCTTTCATACCTTCTCACTGGTGCATCCTTCGCTCCTCGAATGACTTGCCTGAACCATCGCAATCTTGTCTCTCTCATCTTATATCCTCTAGAGATGCCACTTGATGGCTTCATTTCTGACCTTATCCTTGAGAGTATGACCTCGCATCCATCTTAACATTCTCGTCTCCATTACTATTATCTTTTAGGCTAGTGTTTTCTTGATTGGCCAACATTCTGCGCCATACATAAGAGTCGGTCTTACCACTGTCCGATAGAACTTTTCTTTTAGTTTAAGAGGCACCTTCTTGTAATAAAGGACTCTAGAAGCATTCCTCCACTTCTACCACCCTACCCTGACGCGGTATGTGATGTCATCATTGATTTCTCCGTTATCCTGAATCATTGAACAAAAGTATTTAAAACACACCTTCTTTGGAATATGCTATGTACATATTCCCACTTCGACATCTGATTCCACTGTACTATTGTTGAACTTGCATTCTACATGTTCTGTCTTGATCCTACTGAGTCTGAATCCCCTATACTCCAAAGCATACCTCCAAATTTACAATTTGTCGTCCCCCCTTGTGCGATCCTCATCAATCAATACTATTTCGTCCGCGAAAAACATACACCAAGGTACCTCCCCTTGTATGTTCTTTGTTAGTTGATCCATTATAATGGCAAAGAGGAGAGGACTCAGCGCTGATCCTTGACGTAATCCAACCTCCACCAGAAAATGTTCCATATCTACCCCTACTATCTTCACGCTTGTCTTGGTTCTTTTGTACATGTACTTGATAGCTTTGATATATGCCATATGAACCCCCTTTTTCTCCAAAAATCTTCATAAAACATCTCTAGGGTCTCTATCGTATGCCTTCTCAAGGTCGATAAATACCATATGTAAGTCCTTCTTCCTATCTCTATAGTGTTCCTTCAATCTCCTTAGCAAGTGAATAGCTTCCGTAGTTGACCTCCCAGGCATAAACCCAAATTGGTTCTCCTAAATAGTCAGGTCCTTCCTCATCTTCTTCTCTATTACCATTTCCTAAAGTTCCATGGTATGACTAAGTAACTTGATACCTCTATAGTAGTTACAAAATTGGATATCTCCCTGTTCTTATAAAGTGGGACTATGGTGCTAGTTCTCCATTCTTTTGGCATTATTGCAGTCTTGAAAATAACATTAAACAACCTAGTCAGACACTTTATTCCCCCTTTGCCTAAACACCTCCAGACCTCAACTGGGATTTCGTCAGGCCTAACTGCCCTACCCCTTCTCATTTTGTGGATTACCTCCTTCACCTCTTCAAAAGATATGGGGTCGCAAAACTTGTATTCTCTAAACCTTCTGAGTGTTCTAGATCACCCAATACTATTTCACCTTCTCTAGCCTCGTTGAGGAGTTTGTCAAAGTATCTTTGCCATCTTAGCTTGATATCGGTTTCTTCAACTAGAACTTGTCCCTCTTCATCTTTGATGCTCCTTACTTGGTTCAAGTCTTTGGAACTTCGTTCTCTCGTGTTATCTAACCTAAACAACACCTTTTCCCCTTCCTTGGTATCCAACTCCTCATACATATCTCCAAATGCTTTATTCTTAGCCTCAGTGACTGCTTTCTTAGCCTCCTCCTTTGCAATCTTATAAGGCATCTTGTTAGTCTTTTGTTCCCCTTCAATCTTGGTATCTAGTAGCTTCACATAAGCTAGTTGCTTGGCTTGAACTCTTTCTTGGATCCCCGAATTCCACCACCATGCCTCTCTCTTACATCTAGAGCATCGCTTTCCTATCCCTAGAATTTCCCGTGTAGCACCCCTAATAATTTCAGTAGCATGGTTCCACATGTTGTCAGACTTTTCCCTTTGCTCCCGTTCCCTCGTAATTATTACCCTATCCCGCAATTTAATTATATTTTCAACCGTCAAGTTCCACCCTTTTATCCTTGGTTGTCCTCTTCTTCCTAGTCCCCTTGATTTCTATATCCATGACAACTAATTTGTGTTGAGTTTACGCCACTCACTCGGTATAACATTACAATCCTTACAAAGCTGTCTGTCGCCGCTTCTAAGAAAAAAGTAGTTAGTTTTTGTCTTAATTGTCACACTTCTAAAGGTGACCAAATGTTCTTCTTTCTTGTTAAAGCACGAATTAGCAATTACTAAATCAAAAGCTACAAAAATTCAAGCAATGCAATCCCTCCATTGTTTCTAACCTCATGCCTAAAACCTCTATGCAAACCCATAACTCCTTACCTACCATAATCCCCGCTCTGTTTTTGCTCCTAGAGGTTAAAAAAAATTTTAACAACACAAAAACTTCTCATCCAATAGGAATACGAAGGGGTATCCTGTGATTGTGGGGGCCACACAGCGGGAGCAACAAAAAGAGACATGACATGGGGCCAACACCCATGTGAAAAGCGCGTGAAGAGAACGTCAAAACCGCATGAAATTGGGTCGGGTCAAGTGTTGAGTTTGGCCTGGATTCGTTCAAGAGTGCAGCTATGTAAATCTTTGTTTCATAACCTAGGTGGGCGTGCGAGGAGTTTCGTATATTTTTTTTTTCGGCTTGGTGCGAAAAAAAAACAAAGGGTGATAAATAGCGGTGGCGTGCAACAGTGCAAGGCAGAGAGTTCATGTGGCTGGGCTTTGTAACTAACGTAGTTGTTTTAGGGTTTTGTGCATCCTTTTGTAGAGAGAGTTTGTGAGGGATTTGAGAGTTTGTTTGAGGGTTTAGGTTGTGAGATTGTAAACCCTAGTTGTATTCTCTCCCTCTAATAGTAGATCTCTCCCCTCCTTACCCCGTGAACGTAGGCTATTTGCCAAATCACGTAAAATTAGTTTGTCTCGCTTTTGTGATTTGTAATAGCTTATTTAGGTCCCTCGACAGGTTAGTCCTAGAACCAACGAGAGGAAGAGCTGATATCTCGATTGGTTGGGATATTTTGCTTAAGGTTCTTATTTTCTTTGTGAAACAGGAATTGCTATTGTGACCTGACTCTCTTGTTATGCTGAGGTGCTGCTGAGGTGCTGCCAAAATTTTCGCTGCGCACAATAAGTGGTATCAAAGTCCAGGTTTTAGATATAGGGTTTTGGAGTTTGGTGGAGGAAGATTCTTGTGTGAAGCTTGGTTCTTAGAGTTCTAGGCTTCGGTGAAGATAGCATTAGGAGTTACCGTTGGAGATTTTGCTTTCCTCATGTGGACAGGAGATCTATTTGGAATCCGATCTAGGGTTCAGTTGGGTGGTTCCTAATTTCTATCAAATTTGTTTTTTCTCTACAATTTGGAGTTAGTTTGCAATGTGAGAAGAAGGTGAAAGCAGCAAGTCGATGGCGAGTACAATACAAATTCGTTTTCAGAACACTAAGATTAGTATGGTGAAGTATGATGGCAAAATCAACTTTGGTTTGTGGATGAACGACGTACATGATGCGCTCAATGCTCATAATTTGGAAGAGACCATCATGGTCCACGAGAGGCCACCTAAATATGATAAGGCGATATGGGAGAAGATGAATAGGAACGCGTGTGGGGTGATCAGGTCGTGTTTAGAACAGGAACTGAAATATGATGTGATTGGGGTGGCGTCTGTAATGAAGATGTGGGAAATTCTCAACAACAAGTATCTCACGAAGAGTGTTGAGAACATGTTGCACTTGCTGCGAAGACTCTTCACATTTCAGATGTCCAGAGGTACCTCACTAGCGGCGCATGTGAACAACTATATTAAGTTGTTGTCGGACTTGGCAAATATTGATGAGAAGATTTCGGATGAGTACAAGGCTACTATCTTATTGGGCTCCTTACCAGATGAGGAGTATGACACCTTTATACTCACTTTATTGAATGGGAGATCTTCTATCAGCTATAGTGAAGTAACTAACGCTTTGACGAATATGATTTGAGGAGAAAGGACAATGAAACTTCCTGCGCTAGTACTTCAGGAGAGGTCTTGTCAACGAGAGGTAGAAGCCCATATCCGAAAGATGGTAATAGAGGAAGGTCAAAGTCAAGAGGTCATCACCAGCTAGGAAAGAACCAATGTGTATTCTGCAAGGAGCAGAAACATTGAAAAAGAGATTGTCCAAAGATCAAAGAGAAGGAGAATAGCAAGAAAAAAGGGCCCAAAGGCCAATGATGTGAATATTACAAAAGGCGATGATTCTGATGATTTGAGCTTTTCTCTAGTGATTACTCTAGAGGTTAACCACTTGGATGCATCAGATTGGATTCTTGATGTGACCCCTAGACGAGATTTGTTTGCATCTTTTGAGAAGCTCGATGGGGGAGTTGTAGTCATGGGAAATGATCAATCCTGTGGTATTTGTGGGATAGGTACCGTGAGGATTCGGATGCACGATGGAGTAATCCGTGAATTGAAGGAGGTGAGATTCGTTCCTCAGCTGAAGAAGAATCTTATCTCAGTTGGAGCTTTGGAGGCGAAGGGATTCAATGTGACCTTTGAAGACGCTGTAGTAAAGGTTACTAAGGGATCTTTAGTAGTGATGAAGGGAGTCACAGTCGAAACTTGTATTATCTGAAGGGGAGCATCGAAATTGGCTAGGTTGCTTCAGTTATTTCAGAGGCGGAAATGAGCAGGCTTTGGCATTATAGGTTGGGGCACACAGGAGAGAAGTCACTGCAGGCTTTATGCAAGCAGGGGCTATTGAAGGGAGCCAAGAGTAAAAAAATCAAGTTTTATGAGCACTGTGTTCTTAGAAAGAAGACGAAGGTGAAGTTCGGGATGGCCATTCATAGGACGAAGGGCATCCTGGGCCATGTGCACACAGATGTTTGGGGTCCCACCAAGACGGCATCACTTGGTGATCGACATTGGTTCGTCACGTTCGTTGATGACTATTCTAGACGATGTTGGGTGTACACCATGACGAAGAAGAGTGAAGTCCTAGATTTATTTGTGGAGTGGAAAAAAAAGATTGGAACTGTAGACTGAAAGACAGATCAAGACGTTACGATCCGACAACTGTGGTGAATATACTTCAGATCCCTTTCAGCAGCTATGTCGAGACGAGAGCATAGAGAAACACTTCACGGTTAGTCATACACCGTAGCAGAATAGGGTGGTAGAGAGATTAAATCAGTCTTTATTGGAGAAGGTCCGTTGTTTATTATCGCAGAGTAGTTTGGAGAAGATCTTTTGGGCTAAGGCACTTACATATGCGAGCCACCTCATTAATAGGCTGCATTCATCTGCGATTGAGGGGAAGACCCCTATGGAGATGTGGTCGGGTGAGCCAGTACACGATTATAACCAGCTCAAGGTATTCGGGTGCCCTGTATTTTATCATGTGAGAACAGATAAATTAGAACCTCGAGCTAGGAAGACCATATTTGTAGGATTCAAGTGCGGTGTCAAGGGATACAAGCTTTGGGATCCAGTTGATAGGAAGATTGTGCTGAGTAGAGACGTCATGTTTGATGAGGCTTCTATCTTGAAGTTTTCCAGCTCTCATCAGGTGGAGAGCGACCTGACGAAGGAGATATCGCAGGTGGTGGAGGTTGATGCAGCTCCACAGTGTCCAGATGGTGCAGTATCCATTAGAGTGCCGACTGAGGTGACATCAGGCGAGCATGACGGTGATACGGAGGATACAGGTACTGATGTGCAGGATCAGGAACCAACGGTTCAGGTTGAGGATTCTATTACTGTTCGAAGACAGAGGAGAGACACACGGATGCCGACACGATATGCCGACATAGTTGCATATGCACTTCCGGTGGAGAGTATCGATGAGATGGTGCCTTCTATATTTAGAGAGGCCGAACAGAGTTCGGAGGCTGATTCATGGCAGGTAGCTATGCAGGAGGATATAGAGTCTCTTCATAAGAACGATACATGAGAGCTTGTTGAGCTTCCAAAAGGGCGGAAGGCAATTGGTTGTAAGTGGGTATACACAAAGAAGGAGGGCATTGAGGGCACTCCATTGAGGTTCAAAGCTAGGTTGGTTGCGAAGGGCTATGCACAGGAGGAAGGTATTGACTATAATGATGTTTTCTCTCCGGTGGTGAAGCACTCTTCTATTCGGATTTTGCTAGCTTTGGTGACACAGTATGATTTGGAGTTAGATCAGTTGGATATGAAGACGACATTTCTTTATGTTGATCTTGATGAAAAAATATATATGACTCAGCTATTGGGATTCCGAGCTACAGGGCAGGAAAAATTGGTTGGCAGATTGAAGAAATCGTTATACGGTTTGAAGCAGTCTCCTCGACAGTGGTATAGACGATTCGATGGTTTTATGATTGGTCATTCGTACACTCGGAGCCAGTTTAATTATTGCGTATATTTTTACAAGTTAAAAGAAGGTGTGTACATCTATTTGTTACTTTATGTCGATGACATGTTGGTTGCCTATACTTCCAGGTCGGCTATAGATGAGTTGAAAGTTCAGCTTTCAAATGAGTTTGAGATGAAGGACTTGGGTGAGGCCAAACGCATTTTAGGAATGGAGATCGGCAGAGACAAGAAGAAAGGCAGAATTTGTTTGACACTGGTGGTTTATTTGAAGAAAGTACTATAGCGATTTCATGTTAGCATGGATACGAAGCCAGTTAGTGTACCATTGGGAGCCCATTTGAAGCTTTCAGTTGATCTTTCACCGAAGACAGTTGAAGATCGAGAGTTGATGTCGAAGACTCCATATGCGAGTGCGGTTGGGACCTTGATATACGAGATGGTATGTATGAGACCAGATTTGTCACAGGCAGTGAGCATGGTTTCGAGATACATGCACGATCCAGGAGTGGGTCATTGGGATTCCGTGAGATGGATTTTGAGGTACATTAGAGGTACGCTCAATGTTGGGTTGATTTATGAGCGGGACACTATAGGTGGGCAGTTGTGCATTGGATATGTGGATTCGGATTATGCCGGGGATTTGGATAAGCGCCGGTCTACTACGGGGTATGTGTTTACTTTGACCCGTACGCCAGTGTGTTGGAGATGCACCTTACAGTCGACGGTAGCTTTGTCTACGATGGAGACAGAGTATATGGCAGTTACGGAGGCTTTGAAGGAGGCTATTTGGCTTCGAGGACTTTTGGAGGAACTTGGTATATCGCAGAGGTCTGTCACTGTTTATTGTGATAGCATGCGTGCTATCTATTTGGCAAAGAATCAGGTTTTTCATACGAGGACGAAACATATTGACGTTCGTTATCACTTCGTTCATGATGTTCTTGAAGATGGCGATGTGGAGATTGTGAAGGTCCACACGAAGGATAATCCGACGGATATGCTCACTAAGATGGTTCCGAGCAACAAGTTTGATCATTGTCGAAACTTGTTGCACATTCTTGATTATTGTGTTGACGGCTATTTGAGTGAACTACGTGAGGCTTGATTCCTTTGGCAAGAGGATACGTAGGCAATCTTTACGAAGCAGCCAGTTTGGATTAGTTGATTTTGATGAGGGTGAGATTTTTTGGACTCTCGTTCGGGTTCCTGACTTGTTGTGGATTGAGTCCGTTGACACAACAAGTGAAACATTTGGTTGCTTTGGTGTCGGCTTAGTTTTGAGAAAACTTCGCCGAGGTGGAGAATTGTGATTGTAGGGGCCACACAGCGGGAGCAACGAAAAAAGATATGACATGGGGCCAACACCCACGTGAAAGTGCGTGAAGAGAACCTCAAAACCGCATGAAATCGGGTCGGGTCAAGTGTTGAGTTTGGCCTGGATTCGTTCGAAGAGTGCAGCTATATAAATCTTTGCTTCATAACCTAGGCGGGCGTGCGAGGAGTTTCGTTTTTTTTTTTTTTTTTTTTTTGGGTTTGTTTTTTTTTTTTTTTTGCGGCTTGGTGCGAAAAAAAAATAGAGGGTGATAAATAGCGGCAGCGTGCAACAGTGCAAGGCAGAGAGTTCATGCAGCTGGGCTTTGTAACTAACGCAGTTGTTTAAGGGTTTTGTGCATCCTTTTGTAGAGAGAGTTTGTGAGGGATTTGAGAGTTTGTTTGAGGGTTTAGGTTGTGAGATTGTAAACCCTAGTTGTATTCTCTCGCTCTAATAGTAGATCTCTCCCCTCCTTGCCTCGTGGACCTAGGCTATTTGCCGAACCACGTAAAATTAGTTTGTCGCGTTTTTGTGATTTGTAATAGCTTATTTAGGTCCCTCGACAGGTCAGTCCTGGAACTGACGAGAGGAAGAGCTGATATCTCACTTGATTGAGATATTTTACTTAAGGTTCTTGTTTCCTTTGTGAAACAGGAATTCCTATTGCGACCTGACTCTCTTGTTGTGCCGAGGTGCTGTCAAAATTTCCGCTGCGCACAACATATCCATGGATACACCCTTGAGGGCACCTAACCATTTCCTATAGCTAGGTGCCCCAAGGTGGAGCTCATGGATGCTCACTCGTATTACTAATGGATGAGAAGTTGATAACAATATTTTAAAATTTTTTTAACAGCAAAATGTTTCTCATCCAATAGCAATAAGAGGGTGGGCCCTTGGGGATACCTAACCATTTCCCTTATCATAATTGACAATCAGTTTTGATGAAAATCTAACATGCTCGTAATATTTTTGTCGTAAATGAGGTTGTTTCTTTTAATCATTATTGTATAACGAAATTTAATGCAATAGTATACTCTCTGCGGTCCACAAACAATATATCACTTTAAACAACTTTTTTTTTTCATATTATCTATAGTTTTACAATTCTAATGATATATTAATCGTGAGTTTTTCATTATCGTTCTTATTAATTGGTAATGTTTATCTCTCTTTTCTTCTTTTCTTATCTTTTTTTAATACATCAAATACGGATATTTTTATTTTTATATAAACATTACATTAATATATATGTATAAACATTGGAAAAATTTGCAAAATCGACATCTTTTTGGCTAAATATTTAGCAAGACGGACTGTTTTGCTAAATATTTAACAAATTAGGTCTATTTTGCAAATTTCTTCTATAAACATTACATTCTTTTAGTAATGTGCTCCTTTGTTTTACTTCATAAACCTCAAGCGACGGATACTGTGGAATGGATGGATGGAGTACATCAGCAACTTACAACATATATAACTGGTGGCTCATTATTAATGAACGCGATGAAAAAGCCATACAGGAAAGAAATACAAGGACAACAAGCTGGGTGGGATGTAGCAAAATCGGCTAGGACACAGTATATCACAAGAGCAAGTAGTAGTATCCTGCTGCCGTCTTGCCTGCCACCTCCTTTATTGGAAATCATCACACAAAAGTAAAAGCACACAATAGATAGATGATAGATAGCTTAGCCGGTGTTGCATGCCCGGCACGTAGACCGCCTTACCGGAGAGCAGCATGCATGCCTAGAGTGCGTGCCCATGCTCAATCCAGACCGTGGTTTTTGTGGGGCAGGACGGTGGCCAAAGAGGGCCAACTGGGAGTGATCTTCTTAGGACCAGTAATGATATAGTCATCAGTGCCGCCAGGGGCAAAATTGATGAGCGCGTATTGGTCTCCTTTGAAAAGATAGGCCTCGTTTTTGGTGTGGGAAGCAAAGGCCGCCTCAATTCCGCTCTCAAAGATGGTGCCCCTCAAGCTATGAAAGCCGTCGGTGATCTTCTTAGGTCCGCCAATGAGCCTTGGTTGCTTGTAGTTGATGAGAGCGTATCGATCCCCCTTAAAAATGTAAGCTTCATAGTCGGCTGAATACTCAAAGGCAGCATCAACACCATTCTCAAACCCGGTCCCTTTGAAGAAAGGGAACATCTCAGCTATGGTCACGGGTCCTTCGATGATACGGTCATCCGTGCTGCGGGGAGCGAAATTGATGCGGGCGCAGAGGTTGCCTGTGAATATATAAGCTTCTTTAGAGTCATAAGACCCGAAAGAACAGTCGATGCCGTGTTCTGCAAAGGCCGTCTTGGCTAGGGAAGGGAAACCGTCGCGAATAAGAAGGGGCCCGTTCAATATCTTGTCTCTCGAGTTAGTTCTACTTCGTGCTGGCGTTATTTCTAGCACAAGTGTGTGTTCTGTTGGCCATGTTAGCCCTACATAACCGCTTGTTTGTTCTAGCTGTCCTCCTGTTAGTTCTATCCCTTCTCGAGTTAGTTCTACTGCGGGCTGGCGTTATTTCTAGATAGCACAAGTGTGTGTTCTGTTGGCCATGTTAGCCCTACCTAACTGCTTGTTAGTTCTAGCTGCCCTCCTGTTAGTTCTATCCCTTCTCGAGTTAGTTCTACTGCGGGCTGGCGTTATTTCTAGATAGCACAAGTGTGTGTTCTGTTGGCCATGTTAGCCCTACCTAACTGCTTGTTAGTTCTAGCTGCCCTCCTGTTAGTTCTATCCCTTCTCGAGTTAGTTCTACTGCGGGCTGGAGTTATTTCTAGCAAAAGTGTTTGCTCTGGTGGCCATGTTAGCCCTACCCTCACGCTTGTTAGTTCTAGCTGCCCTCCTGTTAGTTCTATCCCTTCTCGAGTTAGTTCTACTGCGGGCTGGAGTTATTTCTAGCAAAAGTGTTTGCTCTGGTGGCCATGTTAGCCCTACCCTCACGTTTGTTAGTTCTAGCTGCCCTCCTGTTAGTTCTATCCCTTCTCGAGTTAGTTCTACTGCTGGCTGGCGTTATTTCTATCACAAGTTTTTGCTCTGGTGGCTATGTTAGCCCTAGCTTACTTCTCATTTAACATGAAAATACTTACAACACACAACAACAACGTAGTTGTCTGTAAATGTACACGCAAAACAATTAACAACATATTAACAACATGAACATACTTACAACATTGAATACACAACAAAAACCTTGGAGAAAATTAAAATAATATTTACAAAAAAGGTGAATCGCGTGCATACAAAAGAGCAGCACAAAACCTTGCTCTATATTTTGCACAATCTCCTTTTGAAATTGTTATCGACCGTTTTTCGACAATGCTGTTAATGAATTCAATCATAAAGATCCCGCAATCTAACGTTCTGCATTTAAGGGAAAAATATTACAATATTGAAAATGACAATGAAACAAAAAAATGAACAATTAAATTAGAAATGCATGAAACACTTACGGTCCTTGTTGTGGCACGGCAACTGACACAAGACCATGATGCTCCAATTTCCCCAATCCCCAATTACTCTCAATGAAACTCATAAACTTATTTATAAATTTCACAGCATCGGCGGTATAAATGGGGGAGTTGATTGAGGAGTAGTGATAGAATTTTGTCTCCTCTCTCACTAACTCTACCAGGTGCCAATGTCCGGAGCTGACAATCGGGATCAGAATTCTTTCACACTCCAAGAACTTCTGCTGAGAAACATTTTCCTTCATTCGTTTTGCCACCATTTCAAGATTTCCTTCTAGAAATGCTTGCTAAAAGATGCAATAATGTCAACATTGTGGGATAACATAATAATAATATCCACCAATTAGTGAAAAAAACAAGGATATACTTACTGCAAGCCAAGGTCTTGTGACATGTATCTTTCGATCATAACTATCACTTGTTTCAATCTTGTTACAAAGCCGAATAACAAATGCATCGATCACCTACAAAAATTACCATGAATGAATAAAATAGTTAATATAAATTATTTTATATACAACATCAAACAATCAATAACACAATTGTTTAGAACCTACATCGTCACTGAGTTCACCTCCCGTTAATAGTATATAAGCATCTAAGCGAGATACGCTTGCTTCGGCACACTTCCAAATGTACGTATCACTATATGCAAGTACATTGTGAGAAAATTGCTACTAGAATTAAGTAAATTCAAAGATTATTATTAGAATAAGTCAGTAACAGTTACCTGTTCATTCTCGATTGTAGAAAGTCTTCAATTAATTTGTTCTCATAATCAAACGCCAGTGCCTTACCTGGATAGTCTCTAGATGTAGGTATGAAGCCTTCTTCATTTTTGTACTTTTTTTTCCCATCAGGACTATCCAATATCTGGATGACACGTCTCTTCTTTGTGCCTTCCTTTGGTTGATCTAGAGGCATATAAGGTGAAGTAACAGAGGGTCCATCCTTCCTCTCCCTCTTTCCGACAGCCCGTTTGATAGATGGCGTTTCTCTGTTATTCTCATTACCACCTTCATCTTTTTGAGAAACATCTCTATAGAGTCGAGAAGGCATATAATTAACAAAGAGTTACACAAGAATTATATGGAAAATATAAAAATTAAAATTGCAAGAAAATTTAAAAAACTAAACTCACCGAGCATCTTCTAAAATTCTCATGTCTCTTGGGCTCATCACAAAGTCATCACATAAATCGGCTTCCCCAGTTCCTTCCAAATTCTCATATTCCTTAGCTTCCATATCCTCTTTGATTTTTTTTTCTTCAGTTACATTTTCGTCATCCTCTTTCTCCTTGGTTTTTTTTTGGCATCTAGCACTACGCTCTTCTAATTCTCGTAATTCTGTAGTGAGCTCATTCAACTCGTACGTCTTCTCCGCAATTAAGAAAATTAATTCAGCTTTCCTTGATTCCTATTTGACAAAAAAAGCTAGTATTAGTACGTATACTATAGTTGCAAACATAGATACTAACAAAAGGGACATAAAATAATGAACTATTAGAGCAACGATATGTACAAATACTATTGGCGATGCCGTATGAATAAGAGGAGTATTCTCTTGGCCATTATCCGTAACCAACTTCGGGACTCTATATAATTTGTTCATAGTAGTCCTCCTCCACTTTCCAGTACTCTTCACACAAAAGAGCGGCGGTAACCTTTCAATATCTGAAGTGTACTCTAATTCCCCTACTTTTTCATAAAACCAAACCTACAAAAAAGAAACTACACATTAGCATGTGCATAAACAATAATCATTATCAATACGGGAAGATATACAAAATAATGTTCATGTAACTCACCAGTAAAACGGAGGAAAAACCACCCATGTACCCGGCATTTGAGCGCTGACCTAATTCCCGCATACTAAGAGACTTCTTTGATTTACTCATCTCTTTGCAAAGAAGAGTGAACACCGCATGGCACCAATTATATTTATGCAAAGTTGATAACTGCTCCGCATATCTAAACGCCCACAAGGGGTGTCTTACATGTCCGCGGGCATAATATGAAGCCGATAATGAAAGCCACAATAAGTTTCACACATATTATAGGGTCTTCATTAATCATATCTACAATCATCTCGGCCATTCTATCGCGCTTCCCCGAAATCACCGCCTTCTTTTCCTCATCGGCTTTCTTATAATTCTTTACAAAATAGGTGTAGATTGTATTAGCCGCTGCCCCACTCATTTTTATTGGAATTCCCTCCTTTGGCAATCCGGTAATTCGGTGAATATCATCTATACCGAACACAATTTTTATTCCCAATCATGAATGAGCATTTATCAGGAGTAAAATTTTGAATCAAGCAATCAATTGCTATTTGCTCATTGCTCAAGGATGTGGGTATATTGAGAAAGCTGTGAAAAGGTGTCGTCTGTAGGGCTTTTAGGTGTCTTTCATCTAATTTTATTCGCTTATCAATTAAATCTCGAAAATAACACAAATTGGCCGGAATTCTCAAGTGTGTTATCTTAGCCCTACAAGAAAATTATAATTCAGAAAGAGTTAAAAATTAAATATATCATGGCAAATTACTTACGAAGTTGGAGGATTATTGCATTTAGAAGAGGTCGGCTTTGATTTTGAAGAATTCGAAGACGTCGACTCTTTCAATTTGTTCGAAGCCATGAGGGTAGACGTCGAGGGCTTGGTCGAGCTCCGGAGGCGGCGATGAACCTGAGGGCTGAGCTCAAATGCCATCGGAGGCGTGGCTGATGACGAGGGGTGAGTTCGATGGCGAGGAGGAGTAGACGGCGCTGACCCGGCGGCGACGCTCAGCGGCGGCGATCTCGGGAGCTGGAGAGGAGGAGGGGAGGTGATGGCTAGGGCAAGGGGACGGCGGCTGACGTCTTGGAAACGGGGACGTCGAGGGCTTGGCGCGAAAGCTTGGGCGGGCGGCGCTTTCGGCGGTGGTGAGGAGGAGGGGGTCGGTGATGGCGCGATCTGAGCGGGAAAGAAGAGAGAAGGGTAGGATTTTTTGGGGAAGGATTTTCAGCGAAGGGCTCAGATCTCTTTATTGGTTTATAATAAACCGCCCAGATCGCGCATCCTCAGAGCCGGCCTACGGAGTCACCGCAGATTCACTTTTCCATATATATATATAAATTATATATATATATAATATATTATATTATATATATATATAGAGAGAGAGAGAGAGAGAGAGAGAGAGAGAGAATAGACTTTGTGCAACCTAACTGTTTGATTGTTGAATCTGATTGATTGATTAAGAATTAATCAAGATGAGGTGATACTCATTTATTGTAAGGGGGTAGTGATGTAAAAACTAGTCAAATAGAAAAGGATATAAATTTTTCTGTTATTTGTATTGTGATCCCTCATATTAGCTGACGACAGAAAAGGAAGAAGGCACCAATTAGTCCCCGTTGACCAATCACTTCCTTGTGAGAGCGCTGTTCCCTCCCCTTGCCGCGATTTCGTCCCCTCCTTGCGCGCTACAAACTGTCACTATGAATTCCCACCTTTATGGGATTGTTGATAATAATGATTTATTGGAGATGATGAGGGTCTTTGGTAGAATGATGGTTCAATTTGAATATGCTTGTAGTGGTCTGACATGGGAAAGCTCTAACATTGGAGAGGGAAGCTCAAATTTAGTGCTTGGGTGTGTTGAATCTCAAAGTCTTCTCAATTTAAGCCCAACTTATGGGCTTTAGTAGGTTGGATCTGATTGTGGATGGAAAAAAGCTATATTTTCATGATGAAAATAATCTATGTCCACATATAGGGGAAAAAAAGAAAAGAGGAGAAAAAAAAGAAAAGAGGATGAACAAGATGATTACGAAGAACTTATATTCAATAATTTATTTGTTTTCAAGTTTATGATATTCAAAAGCTATGTTAATAAATTATATATGCAATAATTTGGGAAGATTATGGATTGTATGATTTGGGAGATGATGGATTGCTTGTGAGCTGGCGGTCAGCGGAGTCATTGAGCGTAGAAGATGTCAAGGAACTAGAGTCCACCAGAGAATTAGAGCGCATCTCGCCAAGAGACAAAAGGGCTTTAGCATTTTTGCTTTTTTCTCTGTTTTATTTTTCGTATATATGGAGATGAGGTTGATTAGAGAGGGATTGATTGCGAGCTTGCACGATTTGGAAATGCGGACAATGAATTCAAGAAGTATGCTCTCGAGTTTTTCTCAAACTTGTTAGAAAAAATAAAGAGATGAGAAACACTTTTTTTTTTAATGTTAGTTGTATTTACAAATGTATCCTTTTGCAATAAATGAGTGTGACCTAATCTTGACTAATTCTTGATCAATCAATCAGATCCAATGGCTAAGAAAGTTGTTGGCGACATTTGCTATCCACATAAGTAGATGTGTGTGTATTATCATATCATATTAATTTAACTGACATATAAAATTATTATATAATATTAGACTAAATACATTATAGTATTATATTAATTTAAGTAATATAAACTAAGTATATAATGTTATACTAATTATATTATTTTGTTTTAATATTATACTAATATAATATATTAAATTAATGTAGTATTTTGTAAAAACTTGTAATATATTATATTAAACATATTTTAATATACTATTATTAATGCTAGGAGAAATTGCATGTAGGCCCCTTTTTAAGAACTCCTATGTGCTACACTCTTGACTTTTCTCCATGTGTTACCTCTTGATCCACCTTCTCATGTGAAAACCCCTTTTCGTGTTGCCACCTTAGCAGAGAGAGAAAACAACTTTTCTTTATTCCCAAAAAAAACCTCATCCTCAACCTCTCATCTCTCTTTTTTTTTCTCATGAACCCATGAAAAATATTTTCTTCTCCTCGTCTTTAATCATTATCTTTTTCATCACCACCTTCTCATCGCCTTCTTCTCTTTATTCTAATCATTTCTCAATCATTATCTTTTTCACCATCGGGGCCCTTCTTCACCATTTTTCCTCTTTCTTAAATCATCTCTCCTCATTCTTCTTCCATAACCGATGTTGCTTCACTCAAAGCTCTTCACCATGGGCTTAGACGGACCATCTTTTAAAGGCATGCCGAAATTAACAATTTACAGTTAAAGCCAACACATAACAGATAAGCTTAACGCTTAACGTACATCTAAAGTTAACACCTAACAATTAAACTTAACACTTAATGGTCAAACTTATCACTAAAGTTTGATAGTTAGATGTTAAGTTTAACTGTTAGAGATTAACTTCGATATAACTTTAGAAGATGGCTCGTTTAAGAAATATATTTTCCTTTGAGTGATCCAGTGGCGGTTGCGGTACAGAGGAGATGGAAGGAGAAGGGAGAAAGGTGGAGATGGGACGAAAGAGGAGGGAGAAGGAAGGTGGAGATAGAATTGAAAAAGGAATAAGGAGGGTGAAGATGGGACAGAGGAGTGAGGAGGGAGGAAAAGTGGAAGAGGGGGAAGAATAGAGTTTAAATGGAAGAGAGATGAGTGAGATGTATGAACTTGGTATGGAGAAGAAAGGAGGGACTCAGGGAGGATGATACGAAGAGGGAGGAGGGTGGAGGTGAGATGACAAAGGTGGAGTGAAGAGGAATGGAGGAGAGAAGAGGTAGACGGAGGAGAGAGGAGGGAGGAGATGGAGGGGATGAAAAATGTTAACATGATAATACAAGAAGGCGAAGAGGAAGAAGATGGGGGTATTTTAGGTATAAGAAAGAAAAAAATGGGTGTGAGAAAGAAATGTTGGAAAAGGGGGGTTGGATACATTTGACTTCGGTCAATGGGCTTGGTCACATGCTAGTTCTTAATTTGGGGCCCAGACACAATTTTTTCCTTAATGTTAATATAAAAGTAATGCAATATAATATAATAACATTATATTGTATCAAACACATTATACTATATTAATTTTAGGTTAAAATGCTTCCAGCCCCCAAAAGCCAAGTGAACATGCTTCCCACCCCCAGAACTTGATCAATGGGTGTTTTACCCCTAAAAATAAAGAATCTGTTCTCTGAGTCCCCAAAACACAAAACCCAAGACATTAAAACATGTGAAGATCATAATACCCTTCTCTCTCTCTTTCTTTTTTTATTAAAATATGATGGGGGATTATTTTATTATTTTTGTTTTCTCTCTTTCTTTATCATGATGATTGATGATGATTATTTTATTATTTTTGTTTTTTATTATTTTGGTTGTTTGTATTGGGAGGTTGTTAAGGTTACGGGTTGGTTGTTAAGGTTACGGGTTGGTTGTTAAGGTTAATGGTTTGTTGTTAAGGTTATGAATCCTCTCTCTCTCTCTCTTTCTTTTTTTATTAAAATATGATAGGGATTATTTTATTATTTTTGTTTTCTCTCTCTTTATCATGATGATTGATGAGGATTATTTTATTATTTTTGTTTTTTATTATTTTGGTTGTTTGTATTGGAAGGTTGTTAAAGTTACGGGTTGATTGTTAAGGTTACGGGTTGGTTGTTAAGGTTATGAATCCTCTCTCTCTTTCTTTTTTTATTAAAATATGATGATGATTATTTTATTATTTTTGTTTTCTCTCTCTCTTTATCATGATGTACCAAGAGGATAGTTGAAATGATTGATAAGGATTATTTTATTATTTTCGTTTTTTATTATTTTGGTTGTTTGTATTGGGAGGTTGTTAAAGTTACGGGTTGATTGTTAAGGTTACGGGTTGGTCTATGATGCACGGATACGGATACGGGACACGGATACGACACGGACACGGATACGGGATACGGCAAAATCCAAAAAAATAGGATACGGGGATACGGCGAGGATTTTTTTAATTATTATTATATATAGAAAAATTTATAAAATTCAACTAACAATCTAAATGATGATGAATCTATCACAAAATAACAAGTTTGTAAACAAAAAGGAATTTGAGTACATACTCATTCCATCAAATCACAACATAACAAGTTTCACAAAATAACAAGTTTGTAAACAAAAAATACATCAAGATGAAGTGGAAGCTAGTCCAGTGACTTCTTCATTGCCTTCATCATCAGCAAACAATACAGCCTCCATGGTGGGTTCATCAAGAGACAAGGTGGCGACATCAAGAATACCGGCACCCTGAAATGAGTCGAATGCATCTCCACCAATATCCCACAGCCTCGATTCTCCTTCTTGATATTCTTGGGATGATCGAGAAAGCAAACGTAGATTGCTATGCACATACACAAGATCTTCTGCCCTTGACGGTGTCATCTTGTTCCTCTTCAAAGAGTGAATGAATGAGTATGTACTCCAATTCCTTTCGCAGCAAGAGGATGAGCAGGGTTGGCCTAGAAGCTTTAAGGCCAATGCTTGAAGATTTGAAGTTGACGATCCATAGAGCGCCAACCATGATTTTGGATCCATCAATCCTCTATCGGTAAGAGAATCTGGATCCCTAAAAGTGTCAAGAGCAGCCGAGAATCTAGCAAATTCCAAGTTAACCGTCCTCCGTTCATCGGCATTAGGATAATATCTCCTCAAACACTTGGCCCTTTCCGAAGAGATCTCCTCATCCTGATGGGGTGCTTGCCGATGGATATTCTCATTGAGCCATGTCTCGTGATAATATCTATTAAAATTTAACATTGAATTAGACATTATTAATAGAAATAATCACATCAAAAATAATGAATTGATAACATAATCTAAATTATTACCTTGGATTCAAAGAGTGCGCCAAGCACTCAAGTGGCGTGTTGCTCTTATTCCATCTATCCTCCAAGATCTTGTGTATGACATCATGCGTGTTGCTCTTATTCCATCTATCCTTCAAGATCTTGTATACGACATCATAAAATAAGGAGGGATCATTTCTCTTTTGCTCTCATGTCTATAAATAACAACATTCACCTTCTCAATCATTGTATCTCACATATCATATACCAAATGAAGGCTGGGCTTGTCGGTATCGGTGAGCCGAATCATATCATATATAGGAGCAGTGAAAGCAATAATATAATCCACCCTATCCCACCACAAATCATCAAGCACTTTCTCCTTAACAAACTGTGCTTTTCCCACATCATCATCTCTGTACGAGCTCCAACGGTCGCTAAGAACCATATCTTGGAGGCTTCTCTTGATCACAGTGAACCTCTTTAGCATGATGATCCATGAAGCAAATCGAGTATCAGCAATTGAAAGAAGCTTCATCTTCGAATGCTCATTGAACATAGCCAGCCTCATTGAGTGATTCATGATGAAGTTCTTAATCATCAAAGCATCATCATATACCTCTGTAATCCAGCTGCACTCTGCATAAGCAATTGCATTAGCCTCTGTATTCTTCGCAGCACAAATATTCTTAAGGGCAAGATTGAGGGTGTGAACAACACATGGAGTCCAGAAGATATGTGGATATTTGCTCTCCACAACTGCCCCTGCGGCCTTGCATGCCGAAGCATTATCAGTAATGATTTGGATCACATTTTGAGGCCCCACCTCTCTAATGCAAGCTTCAAGCTTCTCTGCAATGAAATATTTATTCTTCTGCTCTCCCTCAGCATTCACACAGTGCAAGAACATTGGCCCGTTGTCTGAGACCGCAATGAAATTTATCAGTGGCCTCCTCTGTGCATCTGCCCAGCCATCACTACAAATAGAGACCCCCTTCTGCTTCCATGTGCTCCTGATGGGTTCCAACAACCTCTCTACGTGAGCCTTCTCACGTTGCAAAAGAGTGGTCCTCAAAGAATTATAACCCGGAGGCTTGTAACCGGCAATTGAATTGCTTGCGGCATATGTCAACACTCAACGGTGGTGACTCCCCTCCTCCTCTTTGGCTCACTTAGACGAGAAGGCATGCTTTGACTTCCTGCTACTGCACTTGACGCTGAAGAACCTGGCAGCGTCACTGTCCTAGGCATAGAAGCCCTCACCCTTGCTTCTGCTTGATCCGCATCAGTTTGCATGTCTCTCAAATTGTGCGGCTTAACACATTTGCACATTTTAATTCCTTGCCCACTAATCCGCATTAGATGGGCTTTGACCCTTGAGTAGGAGGATGTAAATACTTCATTGCAATAACTACACATCCACTGCCAATTCCCCCCTAACAAGTACTAATTAAATATTAAACCATAACATATATGGAACGTAATACAAAAATCTCGATTTAGTATAAACAACAAGTAACAAGTGCAAATTATAAATATATTTTCATTTAAAATATGAAATATGTTTTTTAATTAAGAATTAAGTGATTAACAATTAAGTATTTACATGTTTATAATTTAGTAGTTAGCATGCAAATTACTATTTTAAGCTCTTTTTTCTAATTATACTAATTAATAAGTTGTTGCTCACTGACTTTGTTTTTCTTTTTACAGATTATACTTAGAGTTAAGCAGCAATGAGCAAGGATGAATGATCAATCAAAATTTCCAACACAATTGCGAAAATAAATATCTGTAATTCATTCATTAAATATGTATATTCATTTGTGTAATAATTCATTTGTGTAACAATTCATTTGTGTAATAATTTATTGACTAACAAAATTATTGACTAACAAATAATTCATTTGTGTAATAATTCATTGTCTAACTAATAATTCATTGTCTAACATATAATTCATTGCCTAACAAATAATTCATTTGTACTATAATTTTTTCTCAAAAAAATATTCATATGTTAGGAAATTAAAACTGAAATTGAAATTAAAAAAATATTCATATGTTAGGAAATTATAACTGAAATTGAAACTAAATAATTTTTTCTCAAAAAAATATTCATATGTTAGGAAATTAAAACTGAAATTGAAATTAAAAAAATATTCATATGTTAGGAAATTATAACTGAAATTGAAACTAAAATTAAAAAAAATAAATTACCAAATAAAGAATAGGATTGTAGATCTGTGACTTGGTCAGCAATATCACGAAGCTGCATAAGTAACAGAAAAAAGTTAGTTTTCTAAAAAAAAAAAACTAAGATATGAGGGACTGAGAGGGACGGAGAGATTGAGAGATAGAAAAAGAGAATAAGAGAGATGAAGAGAATCAAAATTGAGAGAGAGAGAGAGAGACTGAGAAAGAGATTAAGAAAGACTGAAAGAGAATAAGAGAGACTGAGAGAGAGAGACTCGGGAGAGATCAACAGAAAGGGAGAGAGACGAAGAGAAAAGAGAGAGAAAGAATGAGATAGAGAGAGGGACTCAGATCCAGGACGAAGATCGAGAGAGAGAGAGACTGACCTGTTCGTCGAGCGTCGAGCTTCGAGCGTCGAGGTCGAGGACGATGAGATCTTGGTCAGTTCGTCGAGGTCGAGCGTCGAGGAGATCTTGGTCGAGGAGATCAGTTCGTCGAGGTCGACACTGATGAGATCTTGGTCGAGCTTCGAGGTCGAGGAAGAGGAGCGTCAGTTCGTCGAGAGTCGAGGTCGAGGACGAGGAGAGAGCTTCGTCAGTTCGTCGAGCTTTGAGGTCGAGGAGATTAGGGTTTGGGTTTGGGTGGAGGTCGAGCGACGAAGGAGCAAAGAGAGCTCAGCGATGTGGCGGCGTCGGCTTCAGGTAAGTGAGATAGGGTTTTGTTTTGGGGGATTGGGTTTGGGTTTGGGTTTCGGGTCTAATTTTTTCATCCGTTTTTTTTTTCTTTGCATCTCTGCCGTATCCTAACCGTGTCCAGAGCCTGTTTGACCGTGTCCTCCCCTCTCTTGACCATTGACCCGTGTCGGACACGGATTGACCGTGCCCGACACGTGTCGTGCGCGTGTCGGGCACGAATCCGTGTCCGATTCGTGTCGGACACGGGTTCGTGGCCGTTGGGGGTGAATCCGTGCTTCATAGGTTAAGAGTTTGTTGTTAAGGTTGTGAATCCTCTCTTTCTCTCTCTCTTTCTTTTTTTATTAAAATATGATGAGGATTATTTTATTATTTTTGTTTTCTCTCTCTCTTTATCATGATGTACCAAGAGGATAGTTGAAATGATTGATGAGGATTATTTTATTATTTTTGTTTTTTATTATTTTGGTTGTTTGTATTGGGAGGTGGTTAAGGTTACGGGTTGGTTGTTAAGGTTACGGGTTGGTTGTTAAGGTTAAGGGTTTGTTGTTAAGGTTATGAATCCTCTTTCTCTCTTTCTTTTTTTATTAAAATATGATGGGGATTATTTTATTATTTTTTTTCTCTCTCTTTATCATGATGTACCAAGAGGATAGTTGAAATGATTGATGAGTATTATTTTATTATTTTCGTTTTTTATTATTTTGGTTGTTTGTTTTGGGAGGTTGTTAAAGTTACGGGTTGATTGTTAAGGTTACGGGTTGGTTGTTAAGGTTAAGGGTTTGTTGTTAAGGTTGTGAATCCTCTCTCTCTCTTTTTTTTTTTTTTAAAATATGATGGGGATTATTTTATTATTTTTGTTTTCTCTCTCTCTTTATCATGATGTACCAAGAGGATAGTTGAAATGATTGATGAGGATTATTTTATTATTTTCGTTTTTTATTATTTTGGTTGTTTGTATTGGGAGGTTGTTAAAGTTACGGGTTGATTGTTAAGGTTACGGGTTGGTTGTTAAGGTTAAGGGTTTGTTGTTAAGGTTGTGAATTTGTTGTGTAGGTTACGGATTTGTTGTTAAGGTTACGAGTTTAATTGTTAAGGTTACGGGTTTAATTGTTAAGGTTACGGGTTTAATTGTTAGGGTTATCTATCTAAAGATCCTCTTGGTACATCATGATAAAGAGAGAGAGAGAGAGAAAATAATAATAAAATAATCCTCATCATATTTTAATAAAAAAAGAAAGAGAGAGAGAAGGGTATTATGGTCTTCACATGTTTTAATGTCTTGGGTTTTGTGTTTTGGGGCTCAGAGAACAAAATCTTTATTTTTAGGGGTAAAACACTCATTGACCAAGTCTTGGGGGTGGGAAGCATGTTCACTTGGCTTTTGGGGGCTGGAAGCATTTTTCCCTTAATTTTAATATAATATAATATATTGAACATTTTATTATGAATAAATTATGTTAGTTATAAATACTATATATAATATTCAGCTATTATCTTAACACCCCACCTAAACTCAAAACGCCATGCTAAACTGAAAACACCTAAAAGGTATTTTGAAACAAAGGGGTGTTTTTTTAATCTGAGGATGTTTTTGCCCACAAAAACACTCTTGTTCAGTTGTTCCCAACCACATGGTGTTTTTGTTTTGGCAAAAATGAAAACACCATGGAAATGGAGGAGACGTTGTAGTTCCCAAATGCTTCCTTAGAAATTTATGACTCCGGTTCTAATTGACTAATACTCTAAAAAAAATGTATCCTCAGTTATCCCAGTTCCATTTCTAAATTCCAAAATAAAACTCCCCAAGTATCTTATGATGTGAGATGTTAGAATTCTTTGTCAGTAATGTTATTTAGTATAGACATCAACCTTTTCTTTTTCTATCATGAATTTAGTGCTTTTGTTGAAATAGATGTTATATTGAAAAATTCAATGTCATCAAAAGATCTTATTGATCTTGCAGATGGATGAAGTGTTGGCTTCTGTTGCTGAGACTATAAAGAACTTTGCAGTAATATACCTTGTAGATATCACAGAGGTACCAGACTTCAACACCATGTATGAGTTATACGATCCATCTACAGTCATGTTCTTCTTTCGTAACAAACATATCATGATTGATCTTGGTACTGGTAACAACAACAAGATCAACTGGGCAATGAAGGACAAACAAGAGTTCATCGACATCGTTGAGACTGTCTTTAGAGGTGCCAGGAAAGGCCGAGGTCTTGTCATTGCTCCCAAAGATTATTCCACCAAATACCGTTACTGATACTTCTATGTTGTATCTGTAAATTTCTTTCCAGAGTGCATGCTTATGCTGGCATCAAATTTATTAACATTAACATGTACAACGATGTGATAAATGCTGTTAGTACTCTGTGTGTGGTGGTTTTATGGTTTTCGTGCTATTTTCCTTCATGAAAATTCACCTATGTTTTGTACTGAAAAAAGGGCCTATTTGGTTGCAGCTTCCTTCAGTTTGCTGTTGTGCAGGTTCCTTTAAAGATTTAAACATAGAGATTGCTATGACAACTGTACAGTCCAATGTTTTGAAATAGTAATGTGATTTAGTTGTGTATACTTTTCTCTGTGATTGTTGTACTGTGGGCAGAGGGGACTGATGGTAGCTCTTTCTTTGTAATCTAGACTCCTAATTGTGGCTTATAATTTATGAATCTCTGATTTATGGTTTCTTGATAAATATAAATGTTCTTCGCAAGTGTCAGTTCTCCTAGCCTCTAGTTTTGTTAAGGGTTTATTACAGACAGACTTCATGTATTATTGCCCAATTGCAGATATGCCCCATTAGTTCTATTATTCTCTAGGTAGACCTCCTAATGCGAAATTCTTTTTGACTCTTTTATCCTTATCAGAAACAAATTTCTCTTCCTGCGTGTAAAAGAGTTTAAAAAAATTCTAAAAGAGTTCAAAAAATCTCACTCAGAGGGTCCTCAATTAATCCTTGTCTTCTATAAATGGTGGCATGTCTTTTCTCAACTAATAAAGTTTGTTCTCTAGTTATTCCAGAAAGATTTTGAACTCAACTTGGCGCAATTCTCTGTTTCCAGCTGTTCAGCTCATTTACCGCAAAGATCTAGTGCTTAAAGCTCCATCAGCTCTGTTCACAAGGAACCAACACGTTGCTGATCACTTCAAAAATCAACAGGTACATTCGTTATTTTTGCACAGTTGGTTGGTAACGTATGCACAAGGCACTTCCGTGTGGAGTGCACTCAATAAAATCAAGCAAATTATTCGTCTGCGCTGGCCAAAGTGCTGGCCTTGAGAAAGATCTCCATTCATGGGAAAATTCGAAGGGTCAATTATTTGCACCTCATGGGTGGCTCTCTTAACCTCAATTCTATATTGTCTGCTTCCATTTTTGTGCTCGACGTCTTAACACTTGGACCGTGCTGGTTGAATAGCTCCTCCTACTGAAAATGAAACATAAGGTTCACTGTATCTTCAAAATGAAATGACTCAAGTGTTCTACTGGAAAAATGCCTATAAATTCTCTTCCTAGTCCAGCATATGCTCTTGTAGTAGTCCTCTCTCGAAAATGGCAAGAGAAGAAGCTCGGTTGTACGCGACTGAAGTTGCTCCGAAGAAGCTTGCTTTCATTGGGAAGAACAAGGGTATTAAGATTTTAGAGACCATTGAGGAAGAAGATATGGAGGAGCTTGGAGGTTTCTTGTTGTCTTTAGGGAGAATCCTCTTCTTAGCATTCGGTTGGAGGATGAAACTGAAGCTGAGATGATTGCTTTGTTTACGCTGTCCATGTAAATTCAAGGGCTAGTTGCCCACACACCCCTATAATATTGTTGATAGTTTTATTGTTGTCAGATAGAACCCCGTGTGTTAAAAAAAAATTTTACTCGTTTACCCTGGGTGAAATTTTGACGGATTTTGCCTCTGGGTCGAATTAG